GGGCACGAGGATTCGTTAAACGAACCGCCCACGGGAGACGGTGATACAGCCTGTGTCTCCCTGCTTCTGTCAATGCTGTCCTCTCTCACTCACTCAGTCATTCTCCGACTCAATTCTCTCGCTCTCTTCGCTTCGTTCTGGAGAGAGAGGCAAGACGCCACCCCGGCCGCCAGCGCTGTCCGTCGATCCGTGGGAAAAAAAAGCACTCCCCTCTTCCCTACGTCGTGCATGCGGCTGTGACAAGGAAGAGAGAATCAAGGCGCCTTTGCGTAACTAACTGACGGTCTATTCGCCAATGGCCTTGCAAGGTTGCGATAATAGCCAGATATGTGACTTTCCGTGCTGCGAATGTGCGCCCGCTGCGGTCTGGGATGGCCCCGTTGGCGATGCTGGCGATACTTGTGAACTCGTTGGCCGACTACTTAACACTGGCACGGCAGTCCAGCCGCTCCAAGCGCTATCATACCACAAGCCAGCGTCTACTCAGGCTAGTTAACTACCAGACGAGTTGCGTAGGTACTCCGTACGGAGCAGTAAAAGTGTAGCTGGCAGAGTCCTCCCATGCGCTGCAAGGCCGCGAGAGTGATAGATAGCTCGGTACTTCGTAGGATAAGCTGGAGAGACGGCGGGCAGCTTCAGCAAGGCCGTCAGCGGCAGGCAGCCTTTTGCCTTTGCCTTTGCGTCCCCATGGCCGTTCATCGCGAGGAGGTTCGATGCAGGAGGTGTCTCTGCACTAGTAAGTATAACTAGTCGGCTCCAAGCTATAGCTAGTTAACTAGTTAGTTAACTTCCATTAGTTATATAGGATGCGCCCAGCGGACTGACTGGCTGACGTCAAAAGCTGCGTAGCAACAACAACACCAACAACAACACCAACAACAATAACTACAACTACAACTACAGTTACGATTACAACAACTCCCGCGTCCACCACAACACTCCGAGGCCCACGAACACGCCAGACCGCACGCCGACCAGGCGCACCAGCAGCAGCGAGACCAGCGGACGGAGGAGACGGGCCAGCGAGCTGTCGATGCGGCGCGCTATCCAGATCTCTCTGGGCCTGATACTGACAACTAACTAATAACACCAACGCCTTCAACTGGCTGCGGCTTTCGTCTGCCCGGAACACATGGCGCGCCAGCGAGCCTCCTCCAATGCCTCCACGATCCCTTCGCTGCCGGACCGCACCCAGGTACGATAGCTCTCGAGCCATCTTTTTCTCCCTGGCGACGGAGCCGACGCCTGATGATGCTTTTTTGCTGATGGCGCTGTTTCTTGTTTTTTTTTTTGTTTGGCTACATAGGAGCTCGGCAGCATGTATGATTATCTGGCAAAGGTGATCCTGCTGGGGCCCAGCGGTGCTGGAAAGTCCGTTTCAACCGTTTCTCTTCTTCTTCTTCTTCTTCTGTATAGTTGTGCTAACCCGTGTGCTGGAGGTCGATAGATCCTGTTTATTGCATCGATTCGTGAAGAATGAATGTACGCTCTTTGCTTGATTCTTTCCCCCCTGCCTCAAATACAATGAATGTCCCATGTCTAATATCCAGGTCAGGGCGGGTGCTGTCCTCGCAGACAATCGGCGTAGAGTTTTCTTCCAAGATAGTCAAGGTTGGGTCGGGGTCGAGATTGAAGAGGATAAAGCTCCAGCTGTGGGATACAGCGGGCACGGAGAGATTTAGATCAGTTTCTCGATCATACTACCGAGGAGCTGCTGGGGCCATTCTCGTCTATGATGTTGCATCCCACTCGTCGTTCAGCGCTCTCCCAACCTTCCTTATGGACGCTCGTGCTCTAGCTTCTCCCAACCTGACAGTACTGCTGGCCGGAAACAAGAGTGATCTGGCTGCGGATTCGGCTTCGATTGAGGAGTACTGGGACGATCCTTTGCGACCTCCAGCGACCCCATCGAGCACTTCAAGTAGACAGACGCCGTTTCCCTTTGATTCTGGTGGATCTCTTCGCTCAATAGGCAGCCCTGGAGTGGGAACTAGACTGACGGCAACTGTCTCACCGGAGGGCCGCGATGTATCGCTGGAAGAGGCCTCGAGATGGGCGTCCAAGTCTAATATACCCGTTGCAGTTGAAGTATCTGCTCTGTCTGGGGACAACGTGGATGAACTCTTTAACAGACTGGCCCGAATAATCCTCACCAAAATCGAACTAGGCGAAATTGATCCTGACGACCCCCAAAGCGGCATTCAATATGGTGATGGTGGCATGTATGGAACCAGTGACGGCGGAAGCATTCGAAGCGGCATCACGATTGATGACTCGCTCGCACAGCCCCGGAAACGGAAGCCCAGAAGAGGTGTATGGTCGTCCGGTATGAGAGAGTGGGAAGATGTTTTCCGTTCAAATCCTCCACCCCATAGGAACGGCAGATGTTGCTAGCTCTCTCCCCCTCTCCTCCCTTCCTCTCTCCCAAATATTATTTAATTCTTCTCGTTTATTGTTGCTTCTCTGTGCTGCATGATACCCTATTCACTAGATCCTTCTCGACCCTGATATGTATAAAGAAATCTGCTTATTTAATTCTGGGTACCCCCATTCTATATATCCTGTCAGTGGTATTGTAATGTGTATTTGTGTTGAGAAGCTTTTTTTTTATTATTCCAAAGAGACGTGAGCACCTTTATTGAGACCCCTTTTTCCCCTATAGACTCCCTCAGTCCACAGTGCTGTCCTAGCTGTTTACAATGCAAATGATTGTCATTTTTAGCTACCGAGAAAAGTTTGATTGCCTAGCTGGTTAGAAAGGCTACTTATATTAGTTAAGTGGCCCGGAACTCCACCCAGAAATCTGTATAGGCTAAGCAAGCATTCATCCCATCATTGAAATAGAGACTACGGTCAATCATCTTCCCCCGCAATGAGCGTTTTGATCCCTTTACCAGCCTTCACTTCCAGAAATGCCTGCTCGGCATCCCTGAATGCCACCACTTTCGTCACCAGCTCTTTGACGCTGAGCTTCCCAGAGCCAACCAGCTCCACAGCGAGTTTATAATCGCCACTGCTATATCTGAAGCTGCCTCTCAAGTTCAACTCCTTTGTGCACGCCGCCATGATAGGAAAGCTGATCTCGTCTCTCCCCATGCCGCCTTGGACATACGTTCCGCCCGGCCGTGCAACATGGATGCCAGTATGGACCGACTGTTCAGCGCCTGACGCATCGATGACCGCATCCGCACCACGGCCGAGCCCATGCTCTGACAGTAGCTTCTCAGCATTTTCCTTTGCCGGAATCCTTTGAGGTAGAAACACTCCTGTGGCGGCATACTTCTGTGCAAACTTCAGTCTTTCTTCCTGGATGTCAACAGAGACGACCTTGGCTGCTCCAAACGCCCTTGAAGCTGCGCAGCATAGCAATCCGACTGGGCCAGCACCAAATACCACGACTGTATCGCCGGGCTTAACCTCTGCCTGGCGAGTGACGTGGATGGCAACTCCGAGTGGTTCCATCAAGGCACCGTCTTTCAGATCCATGGTATCAGGTAGCTTGTAGCAAAAATCTTCTGGTAAAACATAGTACTTTGCAAGAGTTCCATCGTACGGGGGGGTTGCGGCAAATACCATGTCAACACATAGATTGTATTTCCCGCTCTTGCAGGGCTCGCATCGTCGGCAGCATATGCCTGGCTCCAAGGCCACTCTATCACCTACTTTAAGACTCTGGACAGCAGAGCCTATTTTGGCGACTATGCCGCTGGACTCATGGCCAAGCACCATCGGCTCCTTCAGTACAAACGGGCCAATGGACCCATGGTCCCAGTAATGAACCTAGCAGATGCCATATATATCAGTAACGACGCTTGGTGGCAGGTAGCAGCAGTATTAATTGGCACATTTATAGATAGGAATGTAGTTCACATCCTAAGAGATACGCAGAAGGGAGATGCTGGTCATACTTACGTCGCTGCCACAAATCCCCGTATACTTCACGGTAATTAGGACGTCATGAGCATCATTCAGTGCTGGTACTGGTCGGTCTTCAAACCTGACCTTTCTTACCCCGTCTAGCACAAATGAAAGATTCTATAAGAAGGGGCCTGTTAACTAATTGTCTATTCGTTCTGTATCAGTTACGCATGGCTAACCCCCCGGGATTGCTTACCTTTGGGCCATCCGCTGCCATGCTGGAGAGTCGTAACTGGTGATTGGGGGTCTTTTGGGCAAGTATGTAACTAACTAGTTAACTTATAGCCTGGAGGGTAGTTGCTTTAACTAGACATGTATATATAGCTGACACTGTTGGCATGTGGGAGCAGTAGAAACGGTCAACAGTCAGCTATCCAATAATTCGAATAAACGGACAGCTCATTCCCTAGCTGGTGGACTAGGTCACAGCTGGAAGCTCTTGGAGTTATATAAATGTCATCATCACCAAAACTCTGACGTGGAGAATCGCCGGGGCTTGGGCCGAATCTGCTGACTCCGGCAGATGTAGATCCGGATCAAGGCCGCAGCTCGGAGTGTCTAGGCTCTCTTGAAAAGTTATTACCTCTGCGAAGGTAGTTGGATAGAGATACACATTGTTAAATAACGGCATTCTTCAACCGTAGCTATGTTCGGAAGAAGGGTCACACATGCTAGCAGTTCACATTCTAGCTTAGGTAGTCAGGGTAAGTGCGAGAAGGCAACTAGTCAGGTACTTAACTAATGAAACAACAAACTGCATATCGGTCAACTAGCTGGCTAGGACAGTCAGTTGAAGTAGAAATTAATTATGCCTTAACTCACCCCGAAGCTCATGTAAACCATACCCGTTGCTAGAAGAAAGGCAATCAATGAATGAAACGTACGCGAAAATCACACCATATACCGCAAAGTAAGTTCCTCTACCTTCCCGCTCTTTAACCCATGAATACCAATTGAGATAGTCTCTCCGGGAACGAGGTCTACACAATTGTCATCAAAAACCACATCATCTGAATTCGAAAAGACGGCGAGCCCTTTCACCGGAACTTCCGCAGATAATCGAAGAAGACGCTTGTCTTCTGAAAGCGCTATCTTTGGTGTGCGTGGAACTTGAAAATCTATATATTTCAGAGGCTCTGGCCAGTTGACAAAACGAGCAATCTGCCGACCATCCTGGATGAGATATGCAGCAACCACTGTTTGGGATGGTTTCCCCGAGCCTTCTACTGCTTCTTGGATTTCCACCTTCCCTAGTTCTATAGTTCGGTTCGCGGGAAATGCAGTTTCTTCCTTAATATTCTCTAAGTGTGTCTGTTGCCCACTGACGATATCCCAGGCTCGGAGCTGTACTTTTCCAGTGAAAGGTTGTAAGGTGAGGTTAGTCACCCATATTTCGACTGTGAAGGAGGCTGATCCGGTACCCTCAAGTGAAGCCTGCTGGATAGGACGTTTTATCCCGACAGTAATGGGGGCCAGTTCTCTTTTTATCGCAAAGTACGCATGCTTTGGTCGTAGGTTATAATCAGCGATTGACCATGAGATCACTGGCCAGCAGTCATTGAGCTGCCATACTAGAACTCCAGCGCAATTTTCCTTTCCTGGGCCTTGCCATTGACGCTTCCATAGGCGGAAAGCGGTTGAGACACATTCTGCTTGCATTACTTGCGTGCAATGTAGATATTGCTCCAACGGACTAAACTGGTACCGAATATTTTCGACCAGGTATGTAGCCAAGCGCCTTTCGTGGCCAACCGCCTTGTTATGATAGTCTAGAGTAAAGGAGTTTGGGTATCTATCCTTGTCGTTGATACCCATTGAAAGCATGCTATCAATGGTACCTATGTTCGGGAGACCTTGCATGCCAAACTCAGACACAAAGCGACCGCTCAGCTTATCAAAGTCTTGATACCTTTCCTGTGTCCCGTGCCAGACTGTTTAGTAGTGAAAGTAGAGTTAGCAAAACCTCAAACTAGTTGGTACCCTAACTTCACATACCATTCCATTGATGAATGTCTCCAATGGTTGGGTCACTGCTGGTCTCTCCACCATAAGGGGAGCCAAAGTGATAATACGTATCGGGCGTAAATCGCTTTGTCACATCCACTAAAAGTTTCTCATAAATATAGCGGGCAGGGAAATTAGTCTTCAGCCAGTTGCAGGGATTGGTATCAGAAGGATCATATTGTAGCTTTTCACTCTCCCTGTAGGCATAGTCTTCGTTATTACCAGCCCAAATAACGATAGACGGGTGGTGCCTGAGTCTCTTGACGTTAGCCTCTGCTTCCTTTTCAACCGACTGCAGAAACTCTCTGTGGGCAGGATAGTTTCCACACGCAAACATGAAATCTTGCCAGACAAGTAGTCCGTATTCATCACATGCTTCATAGAATGCATCTTGCTCATAAATACCGCCACCCCAGACGCGAAGCATGGTCTGATTCCCATCAACTGCCATCTTAAGCCAGTCACCATATCGTTGTGACGAGACACGGGGAATAAAACTATCAGCAGGGATCCAATTACTTCCCCCACAGAATATTGAGGTATCGTTTATTCGAAAGAGAAAAGTGGTTCCTTGGCTTCCTTCAAGGTTTCGTTGTGCTAATTCAACTTTTCGCAGCCCAATCCTTTTGCAGCAAAAATCGAGGGTTTGGTCCTTTCTCATCAATTTGGCTTGCAACGAGTACAGAGGTTGGCTGCCATATCTTGCAGGATACCAAAGTTGCGGGTTTTTCAAATGTATAGTTGCCGCTGCCTTTCCGTCCTTCACTGAGGCAGATACAACAAATTGGTTTCCAGAGTCTTGCTTTTGGGCATCGAGTGATAGGCTAAAGACCACATCAGACGCATATCCTTCCACCTCGGCAGTGATTGATATTTCAGCTTCTTTCAGGCTGCTCTTGAATTTGGTGGTATAGTAGAGGTCCGCAATACGGGCAGAGTATACCTCAAGGGTAATTGGGCGCCATGGGCCACATGTTAATAAGACAGGGCCCCAATCCCAGCCCTACATATTTCTCAGAAGCACACACGCAAAGGGTCAATCATGTTGACGTAAACATAGTACATAGTGGCACTTACATAGTGGTATTGTGCCTTTCGCACAGCAAGGCGGCTCGAGTCTCCGTTCCAGCACCCCCACTGGTGCATCGGGTTCTTTTTTTGTTCCTCCTTACCTCTAATGAAGGCACTATCGAAAGTAATCTCAAGGACATTGCTTTCATCATTCGATCCGCGGAGCAGCGAAGTAATGTCCACTCTCTCAGGAATGAACATGTTGTCGGTTTCAAGAATTTCTTTCCCGTTAAGATGAACGGACGCGTAGGTGTCGAGTCCATCGAATGCAAGAACGGCCTTCTCATTCTCCCCTAGCTGAGGGGCGACAAAGGCAGTTCTGTATACCCAGGCCTTTTCGCCAACCCACTGAGCTTGTTTCTCAGCGGTCCCAGTGAAAGGATCTGAGATGATTCCATGGTGAATAAGGTCCAGATGGATGCAGGTAGGGAACTGCGAGACGGGAAGAAACTTGGAGGTATTCACGCATGCTTCCCTGAAGGTCCACGACTTGTCTATTGGGGAGGATCTTCGTTGGCCCATGGCGTCTGTCAGTTCTGGTGAAGGAGAAGATTGGAGATGCTGATGTTGCTCGTAGACGACGGGTGTGGAATATAGCTGGTTGGGCACTCTGATATCTAACTACCGCTCCATGTGGGAGTGGTCTCCGCCAGGGATCACCAGCCACTGGTCAATAGCCCAGTCTGTCAGCCTCTGATTCGTGTATGGCCTGTTCAAGGATGCAGCTCGTCCACCCCGCTGGACGGGAATGGAATAATCGGGAGGCTGTCTCCGTCAAGAGTAAAGGTCAGCTGACGGTCTATTCCTCCCAACTTTGCCATCTAAGGAATGGCAGTCAGTAATTCCACCCTAGGTCAAATACAACCGTTCTATCTATATAGTTGGTGGTTTTATAGTCCACCCTCGATACTTTTTGAGGGTCAAGTTAGGCTTTGACGAAGTAGTTAGTTAACGAGTTAAAATCAACTAGTTAGCGCGGCCAGGTGCCTTAGCTTTAAACGGTAGAAACTGAGCGCCGCTTTAAATCCTCCAAATTGATATTCTATTTGAGCTTCAAAAAGACTAAAAAAAGAGGGAGATAAAATATACCTTCCATACGTTTAAGGGATTCAGGGGAGCTTGTTATTCTCCAGGACACGGCTCAGAGATGTTTGGCACCCGGGTTATATCGTCGAACACTGCGCTCTTCGCCGCTCGACAGCATGGACTCGCAGTCAATCGGTCCAGTTGGCACCGTCAATCAGTGCGCAGCATAAGAAGACAGCCAGCCAGAAACTTCGGGGGCTCTGCAAGATGTGAGCAAGAAGAAAAGAAGAGACAGGACTCCTTCAAGGGCCAACTGTATGAAAGTACGCAGCAACGACTGGACCGAGAACGGGCAGAGCTGCAACGTTTTGCACGGATGCAAAAGCAATCTCCCCATATCCAATATACAGCAATGACCATCAGTAAGGCAGAGCTATTTTCCTACCGAGTCGCGTGGCTAAGCGCAATTGATTGGTACTTTCTGAACTAATTCGCTAACATGAATTGAATTTTCCATTGTTTAGCTGTTATTGTTACGGCTCTCGGCTGCTACTTTCTCGGTACTCTAAAGCCAGCAGAGCTTCCGGCATCCTCTACCACGCCTCTTATCGACGCCCAGCCACCCCAGCATAACGTTTCGCCCTCAAATCTACAAGCAGCCTGGGCCGATTTTATCGAGATTGTAGGCAGAGAAAACGTGTCGACTGAACAGGGTGATCTAGATGAACACTCGGGGTCTGCATGGTCATCATACAGTGTGAGAGAAAATGAAAGGTCATTTCTTGTCGTCTTCCCTTCAACAACCGAGGAAGTTTCCCGTATCATGAAAGTCTGTCACGTCAGACTTATCCCCGTCACACCGTACTCTGGTGGAACTAGCTTGGAAGGCCATTTTTCCCCAACACCCGGAGGTGTTTGTATCGATTTCTCACGCATGAACAAGATAGTGACCCTACATAAAGATGATTTGGATGTGATTGTCCAGCCAGCCGTTGGATGGGAAGATCTAAATGAAGAGCTGGCGAAGGATGGCCTATATTTTCCAGTTGATCCCGGCCCAGGAGCCATGATTGGTGGAATGGTTGGAACGGGCTGCTCAGGGACCAATGCCTACAGATATGGGACAATGAGAGAGTGGGTTGTCTCTCTGACAATGGTGCTTGCGGATGGAACAGTCATTAAGACAAGGCAGCGGCCCCGGAAGTCCAGTGCAGGATACGACCTTACGAAGCTTTTCATCGGCAGTGAAGGCACGCTGGGCTTGGTTACAGAGGCAACCTTGAAGGTAACGGTCAAGCCAAAAAATGAAAGTGTAGCTGTTGCGTCTTTCCCGTCAATCCATCGGGCTGCCGAATGCGTAGCAAATATCGTCCGGGAGGGCGTGGAACTTGCCGGTCTTGAAATATTGGACGATGTCCAAATGAAATGTATCAATGACAGCAAAACCACACGTCGCACTTGGAGTGAAGCACCTACTTTGTTCCTGAAGTTTACAGGAACCGAAACCGATATCAAGGAGCAGATAAAAATTGTCCAGAGCCTGGCGAAAAGTGCCGAAAGCCAGTCGTTCGAGTTCGCCCGCGGAAAAGATGAGATGTCCGAGCTATGGAGTGCTCGGAAGGCCGCTTTGTGGAGTGTTATGGCAAAGAAGCGCGAAAATGACCAAGTCTGGACCACGGATGTAGCCGTGCCTATCAGCAAACTCCCTGATATTATCGAGCAGACCAAGAAAGATATTGTGGACAACGGCCTCTTAGCTGGAATATGTGGCCATGTTGGGGATGGCAACTTTCATGGTAAGTACGGCAGTCAGGTCGTCGTGTTTGTTCTGATCTAACACGGTATATCATAGCCATCCTGCTTTTCAACGACAGTGAGCGTGCTATCGCCGAAGGAATTGTTCACCGCATGGTGAAGCGAGCCATTGAGATGGAGGGCACGGTCAGTGGTGAGCATGGTGTTGGACTTGTCAAGCGAGACTATCTCGACCACGAACTCGGTGAATCAAGTGTGGATACAATGCGAAAGGTGAGGGAGGACGGCCCATGTCCAATTCTTATTTTCCACTCATTGCTAATCTAATGTATAAACGAATAGATAAAACAAGCCCTAGACCCTCTTGGACTTCTTAACTGCAACAAAGTCGTTCGGGTAGAGCTGCCAGGCCATGGAGACGTAAAGAGCTGGTAAAATTGGTAGCATGTACCCCTTTGAGACGCCGATATGTATGAATAGAACTACTTTGAATTAGTCACAGTCTTGCAGCAACGAACTGTAGCCATATAAGAGCCTGCGGGCCATTGACAGGCGGATCTAGCCTTGTCGATAGCCGGTTAACTCGCCCGGCTAGCTATCCGGGTGAATGTGGGATATCAGCCCCGGCCTGCCGCCAGCCCTCTTTGGGACTCCGCGACTGACATCATCTGACTCACAAGACTTTGATGCGGCTCAAAAACCACGTGTATAAAGTGTATAACCATACCGGAAATATGGAGGTTCTGAATACCGTAATATTATAGTAATAGTAACGTAAAACGCCAGAATTACGTTGATCTACCATTTCTGTAATACGATAGTTGCTTAACTATCTTTAGTATCTTGGTAATAAACATTATAGTAATATAGCAACTACCTTAAAGATATTAAAGAAAATAGATTAATTAATATTAATTAATAATAATATTAATACTAATAGTATACTAACTATTTTATTACTATACTTATTATTATATATAATATATTTATCACTATAGCTATCACTATATATAATATATATATCGCCATAGTCATCATCATTATAAGTATATTAAAGGTATTAAAGGAAAGATGGAAAATTTTTTTCAAAATAATAATAAAATATACTTAGTAATATATATTTTAATAATATTTGGATAATACGTTGCAAGCCTAATCTACGTATTTTTAAAAATATGTAGCTATTACTAAGTAGAATGTAACGGTTACGTAACTATTACAAATAAGGGTTAATACCTATTACGTAGAATTACGGAAAAATGGTAACCCGACGGTATTCCAAACCTTAGGTACCTAGGTTGGAATACCACCTAGGTACAGATTTCCGGTATGGAAAGGAACATCGTTTCAGCAACACGCCCTCATCCCCTCATCGGTGCAGACATTCATATACTGACCTACCTACCGGTCTCTCTATTATATTCATACATCTTCTTGGTTGCCCTTCTGCTTGACGTCCTTTCGGCTTAGTTAAATAAGATTTGTCCATCACCTAGGCAGCGAAAATGGAGGGGCAGAAAACTAAGACAACATCCATGGACTCCAGCTTCCCAGTCTTGCTGCCTGAGGACCCTACCATTCATCTGGAGCCTGCGGAGTTCAGAGAGCGAATTTTTGCTTCTGTTGCAAAGGAGGCCAAATGGAAGGAGAACTTGAAAACAACCAACTCTAATCCAGCCCTTTCTGCGCAGACGCCGCCCAAGGCTGCCGTGACTATTTCCGCTGCCCAGTCCAACTACGACTCCAGCGGAAACGCCTTTGTGGACGCTCTTGTCCAAGAAGCCAAAAATCCGGGAACTCAAAAGGTTTCACTCGAAGAACTAGATGCAAAAAATTTGACTCACACTGACAATTCTGGCGTTACCCATGCTTCTACAGAATCGCACTTGGTCGATCTGTTCCATACTCTAGACGGGGAGCCGAATGAGGAGAAGCTGATCACTCTAGAGCCTCTACTGGAGAAGGCATGGGCAGATGATGCCTTGGTTACTCTAAAGATTATTTGGAACTGTCGTAGCATCCATCTGGGCAAAGGAGAACGATCGATGTTCTACGTCGCCCTTGGCTGGTTGAAAGATAACCACCCGCAGACCTTATTGACTAACCTACCCTGGATTACCCGCGGTGTCATCGAGAAATTACCTCAAAAGGAGCGTAAAGAGGATGAGACCTCAGTGGTTATTGAGAACCAGACTCTCGGAGTCGATGACCGCGAGGTCGTCCATGGCGTCTCACACGGCTATTGGAAGGACCTTCTCAACCTTCTGGCGCTATCTGCTAATGATCAACTCGGAATGAAAAACCCCGAATCAGTTTTGAAGAATCGAACCAGAGCTCCTCAAGAAACCCTAGAAAAGCTCGATATAGAACTGCCTTTAAGAGCGAAAAAGATTAAGGTCTCAGCTATGGATGTCAATGAGAAACGCGCCTACTTGAAAATTCCGCGAGAGGACAGGATGAAAGAAGCTCATAAGATCATCTCAGTGCAGAAAGAAGCCTCAAAAAAGAGAAAACGCTCCCGGGAAACAAGTCTTCACGAGAAGCTTTGGAAGAAATTTGAGAGTGATTCGTTCCATCGAGCTTTACACAATACTATTGCTCGCATGTTTGCGGACCAGCTCAGGAAGGATAAAATACTCCTGGAAGGGGGATCAAAGCAGCAGTTGAAGGAGATTAGTCTCTGCGCCAAATGGGCCCCATCCCTTGAGCGATTCCATGATAAACAAACCTTAATTGCAACAACTATCGCCGAGCTTTTGTTCCCTGCTGAGAATATCAAGAAAGAAGGTGATACCAGGGAAACTTATCTGAAAAGGGCACGAGAACAATACAGAGCCTCCTTCCTGTCGCCTCTCCGTAAAGCACTTCAAGTGGTTGAACGTGACATATCCGCAAACAATTTCACGGGCCTCAAGTATGCTCAAGTGCCGTCCCTTGCCATGGACCTATATAAGAAACTCTTCGCGAAGAAAGACCGTGACAACTTTTTGAAGTATCTGCTTGATGTTCAAGCTGGCAAACAAACTATATCAGGAAGTGTTCTCATGCCTGGGCCATTAGTTCACCAATGGATCCACGCTCGAAACGATGAAATTGCCAGGCTGACTCTGAATTCTCAATGGGAAACACTCATTCAGCGCATAAAGGATAGCGGCTCACTATCCGATTCTATTGCTGTTTGTGATGTCAGCGGCTCGATGATGAGCTTACCTGTGAATGGCGCTACCATGTATGAAAATGCCGTAGGATTGAGCCTTGTCCTCTCTACTGTGACGAAGGCGCCATTCGGGGGCAAAATGATCACCTTTTCAGAAAGCCCACGCATCGTGACGATAAACGAGGATGGGAACAAGAGCTCCTTTGTGGAACAGGTTGACAAGGTACAGAATATGCCAGCGGGTTTTAATACAGACTTCCTCGCTGTATTCACAAAAGCTATCCTTCCACTTGCCATCAAGAACGAAGTCAAACCTGAGGATATGGTTAAACGGGTTTTTGTTTTCAGTGACATGCAATTTGATGAGGCGCGAGGTAACACTGACCCATGGGCAACACATTATCAAATTATTGAAAAGGAGTATAAGGCGGCAGGCTACGAAGTGCCGGAGTTGATTTTCTGGAACCTTTCTCAGAGGAAAACTGGCTCCACCCCAGTAACCCAGGATATGCCTGGCACAGCTCTAGTAGGCGGGCAGAGCCAGGCAATGCTAAAAGTGTTTTTGGAAGGAGGTTCATTTGACGATGGCAAGGTGGAAGAAGAGGATGAAGTGGAGGGTGAAGGGGAAGACGATGATGGATTTGAAGTCATTCAAAAGAAAAAGAAGGCTGTCACTCCCCTTTCTCTCGTCATGAAGGCTATCAAGCACCAAGCGTATGATATGCTTAAAGTGGTCGATTAAAAGTTTGGCTACTGTTATTTTTATACCATCATGACTTTTCGTCTCGATTTGACGTAACACCAAGCGACATCCCATCACTAACCATAATTTTAACGAAGGACATGAATACCACATAAAATAAAAATATTTTTTTCTTTTCATTTTCCATTCTTTGTTTAAAGGGAAAAACGTTTAGCTAAATAGCAAGTGATTAACAGTGCATGTTTCTGCAGCTTTTCCGCATAAGAACGTAGCTTTGACACTCAAGAACGACGACGTCCATGGTGCTTGTGATGACGGCGGCGTCTCTCATCATCATCCTCCTCGTCGTCGTCATCATCGTCATCATCACTGTCTTTTTTATAGCGTCTTTCATACCTGTCGTCGCGACCATGATCTCTCTCTCGACTGCTACGGCGACGCTCGTCTGTTCCATAATGGGAGCTTTCATAATTTCGCGATCCACGACCATACTCGTCGTTATCTCTGCGGGCATATCTAGACTGTTCCTCGTAGCGGCCAGACGAATACCGATGCTCCCTTTGAGATACCCTTGAGTCCTGGTCGTCATAGCGGCTGGAAGAGTAATCGTGCTCTCGCTGAGAATACTTGCTCTCTCGGCCTCCATAACGGCTAGAAGATCCAGAGTATTCTTGAGCCTCGTAGTACTCGCTAGCTAACCCTCCAGGTCTACTAGATTGATCATGTCTAGCTTCATAGGTCCTAAAGAACAAAAACTGATCAGTATGTGCGCCGTAAAGAAGTTAGTCTGTATCAATAGAAAAACCTTTGCTCGTCATAATCCCCTCGTCTAGTATTTCCACCGCCGCCATAGCCTTGGCCGTATCTGGTCTCCGATGGCTGATCATACCTGCCAGATTGGCCATAGTCGGATTGACGGCCCTCATATCCAGATTGCTCATATCCAGATTGCTGGTGTCCTCCTCCATATTGGTATCCTCCTTGTTCATATCGCCCCGCTCCTTGCTGCTCGTATCTAGAAGGTTGCTGATATCCGCTGGACTGATGGTAGGTGGGTTGATCATGCTTTTGATGATGCCCGCCATGACTGTCGTAGTCCTGGCGGCCATGGTCTTTTCTGGAATTATCTTCCCCAAGGGCCTGCCCAAGGGCACCTGCAAGACCACCCACCAATCCACCAATTGCACCTCCACCAACGGCTTCTTCTGCAAGCTTGCTTAATTCGTTTGCTTGACGTCCTCGCCCGTAACCACCGCTAGCACCATGTCCGTGAGACTTTTTAGACAGCTTCAGAGGCACGCCACTTCCATGGCCACAGTCGTGGATACCGGGTTTATGGTTCTCTCCTTTCCTAACCCCCTCTCGACTTAACTGCCTTCTGACCCCATCATCGCCCTTTTCTTGCCACCATTCTTCAACTGCACCAAACATCATTCGACGGACATCTGCAGCCCCATCATCACCGAAATCTCGGTGAGCAGGGTGGTGGAAAACACCAGTAATGATCCTGTTCAATGTGCGGTTCACATCAACGTTCTCATCATCCCAGCACTCCATTATCTGAGGAACAACCCATTTAACTACTTCCTGAGCAATCTTACCCGCCGGTTCGTTCAGCAGGTTAGAGAAATGATCCTTTGACAACATAGAGTGAGTGGGATCAGTTGCGTCATCGTCATTGAAGATATTGAGCTGTTCTCTCTTGCTGCTTTGGATAATTTCGGAAGAGCCAGTTTCCAACTCTGCTTTCACTTGATTGATGATTGGTAATACGTAGGGAGCAAGGACACTAAAAACGAAAACGTTAATCTGCTCTTGAATCTGCTCAATCAACTCTGGAAGAACGGGAATGTTTTCAACGGCCTTGTTGATTGACTTTAGGATGTTGTCGTGCCATTCTAGAACCGGGTAAATCTGTCGGGTAACATCTTGAAGGTAGCGAGTCCACTCTTCAGGTTCGTGTGGTGTAATATTTTCTTGTTGTGCCTGGGCTTGTGCATTGCTCTGGAACTCGTCCATCTTTCCTGACTCGTTTCCACCGATAATGCCTGAAGGAATTTTAGCTAAGAGCTCTTGGAGGAAGCTTTTAGCATTCCCTTGGTTTTGAGTTTCCTCGATAGCACCCTCGAGGCATTGAATCTCAGATTGCGTTGCCTTGTCAGAGAATTCTCCCATGACTGAGTGAAGAAAGTCCACTCCACCAAAAGTTCCAGTAACAATGGGATAAACATCGTGCCGACACCCAGGAAGCTGGATCATAGTATTGCGACCAACATGGGGAAATACGTCTCGTTCACCCATCTCAATCAGACTCAGTTCCGTATAGTTTGAATGAGCGGCGTAGTCCTCCAAGCAGTGTAGGCCGGTACCCAGCAAGCGAAGAGCTTCGTAGAGATCTGCCTTGTTACCTGAACGCGCATACTGTCTACCGAGCTTGATACAGCCCCCAAACACTTTCCTAACTAGGCCAGCTGAGGTATCAATTCCGATGTCCTCAGTAGCAATATAGTGTTTCAGACCTATTAAATACTAGTCAACTCCATACTGGTCTAATTAGGAAAGCTACTCTTATCCGTACCAGTACGTTCATCAACAGATAATTCCCGTCGTTTATCCACCGGCCCGCGTAGACGACGGTCATAACGCCTTGCATCGGCTCCATCGGCGTATCCTAGCGGATTGTCAATGTGCTCAGTGGGCTGGTAGCATCCAAGACGGTCAGTGGTGACTTCGAACTCGTCAACGCCATATCTTAATGGAAGGATCATTGTCAGTTAAGAGATATTCAAGCGTCTAACAATGAAACAACCAACGTACCCAAAGGTTAAAAAGCCCAGAATCCAGATGAGGATACGAACAGCCTCAGCACTGACGTGTTTTACAGTACCAACATCCACGGCCTGACTGTAGTCTCGAAGCCAGTTGCCAAAGTAGACGTGCATCACATCCATCTTGGAAAACTTTCGGCCACCAGCAGCGCGAGCCATGTACAAAGTCAATAGGACATCTTCGATATCTCCATGGCGGAAGTTGACACCCTCAATTTTCGAGATGGAGGCAATGTTACCGGCTCCAAAGGCGGCTGTCGGGCTCGCAAAGACAAGGAAAAGAAGGGCAGTGGTGAGAATCAGCAGGGTGAGAGAAGAAGAAGAAGAAGAAGCCATTAGGGGCGTATTATGGCTGTGCCGGTGTCTCTGGCTGGGGACCTATGGAGGGGTCTCACGGTTAGCTGTCGGTCTACCGGTGTCTTTGTAGTGTTATAATGGTGAGATGCTAGTAGGGAGTTGCTGTCACCAGAATAATATAGAACTAGGTATGTACCTGTCAAGCCGAACATGCGGCGGGGAGGGGTGAACAGTTCAAGCCAACCTAGAGAACCAATCGACCGCTGTCGAACAGTAGACCGTCTTGACTTTTAACGAGGGTTGGTAGCTGGCGAGCTCGTGGTCTTCTGCAGCGATGAGATAACCTTGCCCCTAGAGGTCTTTGTCCAGGAAATAGAAGAAGTAAACATTCACTTCAGTTGTTTTGAGGATGTTTTCTTTGCCCCGCGAAACAAGATGGAGCTTCGTTGCCGAGATCACGTTGTCGCCGACCCATGGTGAAGTGCAGGTCAGCTGCATAAGACACAGATAAGGTAGACGAGCACGATGAACGCGATTAAGACGGAGAGGAACTACAAGGGAAGGCTATGAGGAAAGATTTAGTGGATATGGCTTCAACGCAGCAGCACGATAAAGGTCGCCTCGAATCCCTTCATGCGCTCAAGATATGCATTGAGCTCGGTATCGTCACTAATAATAACTACTTGATGCTGCTGGCTACGGCTACGGTCCGCCGTATCAATGCCTTCGATTTTCACTACCTCCTGGGCATTCTTGATTCGGGATAGGATGGTGCTGCGCAATCCAGCTACAGACGGAACTGTGAGCTTATCAATCCACGGATCGGGGTCTTCGAGACACGGTGGGGAGGACTGTGGATGTATGTGGAAGTACAAGGGTCTCGGGTTCACTGGAGCGTGAAGGCTAGGGTCAATGTAACTGAGAGCATGCGAGACGGCAGTGGCAGCGGCCGTGGCAGGCTCGTGGTTTGAGTCCGCTGTCTGGGAAGAATGGCCGTCTGTGGCGGCTTGGAGTAGATCGACCTGTGTATCAGCCACTTCGCCAGGGGAAACGGTAGGCGCACTCGCAAGAGCTTCAGATGCAAGAGTACTGATGCGGTTCGGGATGCAAGTGACTGTAGACCTGGACGATGTTGACGTTGGAGTTGGTCCCTGGCTAGATGATGATGGCTTTGGCGTACTGGCTCCGGCATGCGGTCTCTTTCGAGAGGAATCACGTTTGATCTGGTCATCTCGGAGTCTTTTCATCACGTCTCGACAAAGCACCTCGACGGCCTTGAGTCTCGTTGCATGTTCAAAATCTGTGCCGGGGGAGTTCAGGATATGCTGAAGGAGTTCGGATTCCCTGATCCACCGATCCTTTAACTCCATCCATTGTTCATTGCCGGCTTCAAGCTTGCTGGTGATATGGCTCGCCTTGAGCACCTCGTAAAATGCGTTTCTTACTTGCCTGCTTTCCTCAGGATTTATCCCTAGTGCATTTTTGGCCTCTGCAATTGTCATCCGTCGTTCCAGGGTGCGCATCCGTTTGGTAACGTCAGTGCAAACGACGTCAAGGGCTAAAGCTTTTGCATCGAGGAGGACGGGCTCACCCCAGAATACTGCCTGTAGGTGCGTAGATTCATTGATAAGCCTATCCTTCGCCATTTGCCATTTCTCCGGCCCGGCAAGGGTTTTCTTGATAAACCCGGCCTCCTCGCATATACGCTGGAATGCCTCCCGGACTCCACGATAACTGTCATTATCCAGGCTCAGGTACTTCTTACTCTGGTCTATTGTCGTCTCTGATGGAAAGCGAGGAGGACCGGGAGGGTCTGGTGGTAATCCTGCCCATTCACGAGTCCGCCGTCGACGTCTCTTAGTAGCCCATCTTTCCTCGCTCTCAGCTTTCAACCTCTCTAGTCTCTCCTTGCGCTTAGCGGCAACATTCTCTGGCACATTGGAGGCTGTAGGAGAGACATAGGCATTGGTACTGATACCGATACCACCATCCACACTGTCAGCTCGTTCTTGTATCTCTTTGCTGTCATCTGCTGCTGCTACCTCCTTGTGTGCATCTCGCTGAAGCTGTATCAGTTCATTCTCTGGCTGCTGTACCTCATCACCGGGAGCGGGTGAAGCTGAGCCTGTTTCTGAAGTAGTAGTAGCGGCAGCGGCAGGTCTCATGCCATTTGGAACCCGTAGTAGCCACCTATATTTGGCCCATACTCTCATGACTTCGCGCTCCTTGACTTCGTATCCTTCTTCATTGAGAATGCAGATCATATCGCGCTGCGACGTATTGTTCTCCCATAGCTGCTTGATGCGCGCTACAAGCTCTGCTCTTTTATAGGCCGGATTCTGCTTTGAAGGAAATCCCCAGCGCTTGAACTGGGTCTGGAACGCTCGTTTACTACCAGCCTGTCAGCATAACTATACGCATCACTGAAATTGTACAGCAATCAGCCTCACCTCGGGGAAAACTGGTGGAATGCCCGCATGTACTCGATAATGTCCTCCAGCGGCTTCTTCTCCTCAATGTACATCCTGTAACAAATATCTCTCTTGCCCTCCCAATCATACACCATCGTGGCGACTCGACGCCGGCGCCGGCGCCCTCCCTTGCTCCAGACCTCGTCTTGATATGCCTTCGCTCTGCCACTGTCCTCCTGTCCCCTTATCTCCCTTTCTTCCCGTTTCTCTGTCTCCCGGTTTCTCTCTGGCTGGCCTGGTCGGGATGCGCAAAGAAGCTGCACTTTGCGGCGATCTCGTACGCCGTAGCTGAAAATTCTGGCCTTCGACGCTCACCGTAGCTGATATTACGTAATTTACCACGTGAACTAACGATCACGGATGACGTCATCCCGGCGCTTATATATACTTGTCAAAAATAAACAAAAGCATAAGTCAACATCCGCGAGATATAGAAAGGAGGAAAGATGGAGAAGAGCCAATTGATTCACTGAAAGTGTCGAAACGATCGGATGTAAAACGCCAGCAAGTCCCGCTATACATGCTCATACTCGACGAAACAAACAAAGCACCAATGTAAGCGAGTAAAAAGGGGGCAGGACGCAAAAAAAAAAAAAAAAAAGAAGATGCAAGGAACAAAATCAGGGTTCGAATGCTACTAGATCTCACCACTCTCATGGGAGATACCAAGAAGTAAAAGCAAAATGAAAAAAAAAAAAAGCAATGGGAAAGCGGACACCATCTCCAGGCACTGGTTGGGATGGAGCTGTGTATGTTGAGCGCTGGTTGCTACTGACTCACTTAGCATGGGAGAAGGCCACGGAACAAGGCAGCAAGAAACAGACAGTAGAGAATAAGGGCAAAAAACGAGACTGAAACAGCAAAATGTGCCTAAAAACAATATCGTTTCCTTAGACCAAGCCCGTCCGGCAGACCCAGCTCTCAAAGTCATCTCATGAAAAGTAAAAACCAAATAATTACTAAAAAGGTCGTCTCGATGCGTTGCGGCGTTTGCATTTGTGAAAATGCTCTAGTTAGCCTACTTTCTTCAGCTTCTTTCCTATCTTAAATATCTTAGTGCGTAGCCAGGTGAGGAAGAGAACCCAGGCGCTCTTTGGGCTCTTTGGTTTCCATGTGATCTTAGTGGTATCGTCGGCATAAGAAGAAGCCGAGTTCTTTCTGCGGCTGTCTTTCTCACTCAACTTTGAAGACCGGCGCAAGGTAAAGTCGGAGATGGACCGCCTTCCACCCGTGTAGCTGTTATATGAGTTTTCACGCTCCAGCCGACGGAGACGACGCTGCTCCTTATCGAGGGCTTTGGAAGTCTGTTCATCACGTTTCCTATTTTTGGCGGCCTCCCTGTCTTCGAAGGCCTGTCGAGCTGCCTGCACGGCTATGGCGCGAGCGGCGGGATCTGCAGTGCTAGGACGGCGGGATCTCGACCGCAATCCGAATTCTAATGAGTTCCGGGAGAGCGGGGCCGTGTCCCGGGGAGAAGGGCTGTTGTTGATGATGCTGCTGTTATGGTTATTGTTGAAGACACGACCGAAGGAAGTAGAGCGGGCCTTTGTAGGCGGGTGAGTAGTAGTAGTCTCACTTTCTATTTGGATAGAACTCCGAGGTTCGTTGTAGATGCTGGGAGAAGGAGAGCCAGGGAAGAGGTCCTGGCTGGTGGGAACAGGGTCATCAAAGTCTGTCACACGCTGTATGCCCTCGAGGTGCGAGTCGGTGCTGGCAGTAGCAGAGATCTGATTTGATAGTCCCAGCGGTGGCGTGTAAGGACGGGGAGTCTGGCGCATGGGATGGACATACTGGCCACCGGGGCGAGGAAGACTTCCGAACGAGAGCTGGGACGCACCGCTGGCCGAACGGTAATGACGGGCGCCGCCGAGGGAGCCAGTTGTAGACCAGTCGTCGGCACCGCGGTCCTTGCCGCCCAGGCTGTTGTATATTCCAAGGCCGTTGTTCTCGCTGAGGGAGACGGACAAATCTATGCCGGTGCCGGATCGTTTCCGGTGGGGGATACCTATCCTGCCGAGGGACGACATGGTCTGAGAGGACGAGTCTGAGCAGCGAGAGAGCTTGCGAACACCGTATCCGTGTGCATGGGTCTTGTATTGAGGGCGTTGAGGCAGCGACGAGTCGAGGCGTGTGGAGGATGAAGCAGCTAAGACAGCACCGCCATGCGAGCAGGACGAGGTAGCAGAAGAGACAGCAGCGCCGCCCGGGGCGTCGACGTCATCGTGGTCGCAGGCAAACTGTGGAAAGGCGGCTGGTTCCTGTGGTCTACTATGGAAATGGATATAAGCAAAAATGGTTCGAATGTCAGCGATAACAGACTTTGGCAGGTGAAGATGGACGACGGGATATAACAACATGAGGGACAGAGAGACCGGGAGACGGAGAGAGCGATGGGGCGCAACGAACCTTGCCACGACTCCTACAGTGGCCGCCTTCCTGAGCCTTGTCATCATCTGGCCGGAGACGAGAGGCTCGACGGGTTCGGCCATTGGGGGCGCGGAGAGGGAGGGCTCGTTCTCGTCGACTGCGGCCGTCTGGCTGAGCGTTGCCGGCTGGCCTCTGGGCGGCAACTGTCTGTCTAGCGGTCTCCCGAGCGATGGCAGCGCCCCGGACAGCGGCAGTGCGATCACTCAGCCGGGTCCAGTGGCTATAAGGGATGTCTATGGTATGAAACAAGCATGTTCAAGTCGTCTTCAGCAGCGATATATGGTGTGGTTGGGCGTGTGTCGTTGGGGCCGTCGTTGTGGCCGTGGGCGCTCGGGGGCTAAATAACTCGTTGCTCCAGGTAGTGAGATAATCGCAGCGAGGCGCCGGCAACGAAAGCCCCGGTGCAACAGCAACGAGAGAGAGAGAGAGAGAGAGAGAGAAGACCGCCTCTTCGACAGGCTGGCGGGCTCTGGCAGGTGTCACAGGAGGAGACAGAGGAGGAGACAGTCTAGAGAGGGTGGAGGAAGCGAAGCGGCGGAGAGAAAAGGCCGGCGTGATCAGCTCGACAGACTGGAATCCATGTCGCCCGCCGCTTGGGTGTGTTTAAGAGAGGTTGTCCTTCAAGATAACTACGAGGTAGCTCGTTCCTTCAACGACGGCGGCGGCGGCGGCGACGATGACACTACTAGCAGGTATGCATAATAATATAGATGTATGCAGCCGACGACGAGGTCTCACATGCGGCCTGCCTGCCCGGCTTCGTCTTCTCTGGGTGGCGCCTCTCTCCCCTCCCGCCGAGGAATCGCATTTCTGCGCCTTGCATTTGCATGCAGAGCAGGCTGGGCTGGATGGCCGCCAGCAGGACGAACAGGACGAGCAGCAGACGACGCAGAAGGAATCAGAGCGACGGAGCTGCTGCTCCCTCCTCTCTCCCTTGCTAGCTGGCTATCGCACAGCCCGGAGGGGAATGTAACTATATAACTCGCTACGTGCCAGCCAGTGGATGCACAGCGACGACATAGCAGACAGCCGGACAGCAGGCCGGGGGATCCAGGTATGTAAATAGGTACTCTGTTAACTGGGAGATGGGAGAAGAGGCCTGGAACCCACTGCCGTCGCCACAGCGGCAGGGCTGGCCTCTGGACAGACACCGACCTGTATGTACGACTAACACCATTAACTACTCGACTCAGGGAAGGTCAGGAGAGGACACGGACAGCCCTATGAAACAGACAGACAGGTGGGCACCGTCGAGAAAGGGGCTGCTGGCCACTCGCGGTACACCCTCTGCTGCGTCTGGGCCTCGCAGGAAAGGGGCTGGCTGTTCACACTGCATCCCGGAAGAAGAAAAGAAAGACAGCGGCATTAACTAGTTGATTATATACTGAAAGAACTATATCTATAGTCGGATGGCTATGTACGGAGCGGCTATTTGGTGGATGGTCGATCCATAACCAACTGCCTACTTACAGAGTCACCCGGAAGACAAGTACCTGGGTGTCGACATTGAAGCCGGACTTGTCTGCGTACTTGAACTTGCCGAAGTTCAGATGGCCTGGCTCATAGTCAGTATATAAATTAGTCACTCAGAGGAAGAAGGGAAGACGAGAAGAAGACGTACCGTCCTGGGTGATGTAGTCGTTGTCGCTAAAGGAGATCAAAAAGTATTCATTCTTGCCATCGTCTTCAAACTCCTTGGACGGATCGACTGGGACAAGAGCAAGGCTTTCCCACTTCTCGTTTAGTAGATGCTCATCCTGCGCGCCGCCGTTGTGCAGCCGGAACTTGCTCAGCTCGGAGTTGAGGTTGTAGTCCACGAACGAGCAGTAGTCCAGCGGGTTGATGCCGTCGTCCAGCACGCCCTGGCTAGAGGCGATCGAGCCGTCCGCCTTGTCGTTGCTCTTCGACTTGATGTCCGTCGTCTGGGCCGACTTGGAGATGATGTCGGCATGGCGGTAGACGGACTCGGTGTACTCGGCCGCCCGGCCTGCGTTGCTGTCTCGGGACAGGATTAGAAAGTCGCCTGTCGGTAGATAGTGGATCTCAGACTGCGAGGCCGCGATGGTTGCCTTGCTCGGATCTTGCTCGTGCGGGTCGACAAAGGTCGCCAGCGTCACCACGTACTCGTGGGTGTACTTGGGCGTGCTCCCGGAGATGTCATACTCCAGCATGCGGGCCTGCTTTCTGTACCGTTTCTTCGGGCCGCCGTCGTTGTTCAGCGCAGACTGGATCAGCGTGTAAAGCGTCTTGCCGTCTCGTGAGATGGCCAACCCTTCGAAGCCCTGGTTGTTGTTGCGTCCTGTCGCGGGGTCCTCTGGATCCGTCTGGCGATCGGGCTCGTAGATCGGAGGGGAGGCGGCGCTGAAGCTGACTTTGCCGTTTCGACGGGGGATGTACGCATCTGGAGGCTGGATGGCCTGCAGCATGCGGCCTTCCCGCGAGAACTTGTACACATAGGGCCCGTACTCGTCAGAGACCCAGAATGCACCGTCCTTGCCAATCACAATGCCCTCGGAGTCCAACGAGATGCGTCGTCCGCCTGCGCCACTGCCGCCGAATCCATCTCCAGGGTAAGTAGCCACTGGCATTCCGGGGAAGCCTGGGTAGCTGATGTTGCCAGAGAAGTCAGCATCCAGCCCGGTCATCGGAGTGCCGTCTGGACCTGTCAGCAGCAGCGTGTCCAGGAGCTTGATCTCAAGATTGGGGTCGGATGGGTTGGAGACGGTGGCACCCAGAGCCAGAGTCAGCTTCAGGCTGAGCTTCTGGATACGGCTCTGCACGTTCAGCGTGCCCTGCGTGTTCCTGCAGTCTTTCGTTAGCCGATAGCCATGCCCTTATTCTTTCCGTAGTACTTTGCTGACGTCCATACCAGCCGCGGTCGGGGATAGCCCAGGCAATACCCTCATAGGTACCATCGGAGTTCTTCTTCCACGATGCCTGCTCGATAGCGATAGAGCTTCCAAATCCCCCAAGGGTATCTCCGTACTTGTCAACAGCATTCGATGGGACAGTGCCGTATCCAACGAGGCCGTTGTACTGGTATGTATGTGAACCACACTTGGTCTGCTTGACAATGGGTAAAGACGTCTCCGCGCGATGGCCTTTCTTTGGCAGGCCATTGACCGTAGTGGCCAGCAGGCCAGAGACAGCGCACAGCGAATATATCAACGACGACACCATGATGATGATGGACACGACACAGCTTGTTCCTCAATTGACTAGCTGTCTATGGCCGGTCCATCGTCCAGGGAGACGGACGAGCTCATCGTTATATATCTAGCCCAGCCGCCTCCGTCTGCCTTGAGCAAGAGAGCAAGCAAGCTCCCGCCCACCAATAATAATAGTGAATGCGATTGATCTCTCCCCTCCTCCTCTGCCCTGATCGTCGCCCCATGCTGGCTGCTGGTGCTGCCGCCTCGCACCAGGAGTGCAGTGGCAAGGCTCCTCGCTACTCCGGCGGCAGCGCAAGGACCAGACAAGCATTTTGCCCTGGAGCTGGCGAGTCAGCGGCCGAAGATGGGACCCGACTGTGCTTGCCCGAGGCGTTTTTATAAAGCTAGAATGTCGACGGCGAGCAAGGTGGATAATCCGGGGATGCCTTGATGCAGGTCGTGCGATGCTTGACAAGCGCCATTGGGCCGGTTAACCAAAAGACCGTCGCCCGGAGAGAGTAAAGTAACTTAAACGAGTTAAAAAAAAAAAAAAAAAAAAAAAACAGAGAAAGGAAAGAGGAAAAATGGAGGGGATAATAACTATGTAGCTCCTCAATAACTAAACGCATAAGTCACGAACTTGGAGAACCATTGCTTTTTGGATATTATGGGGCTGTTTTGTTTGACTGACTGGTAAACTAGATACAAAGTTGACTGTGTGGTAGATTCAAGCTCTGGGACATCATACCACTTAACTAGTTATCATCACGCTTACTGGTTTATTCCCAGGTAGTTGGAACTTGCGGAAACTGCTTTGCGCTAAGCCCCAGATCTTCGAAAATTTTATCGCTGTCTGTGTTATTACCATTTAATTAATAGTAAGTAGTTTGTTAGCAGGCTTTGCAAGGGAAAAAGGATACTCAAACAAACAGAAAGAAAGAAAATGTTCTGGAGAGTAAGGTTGGACAGACCCCAGCCAAATCTATAACTGGGGAACAAGGGTACGCTTACCGTCCAGCGCCTCAGCCCGTATTTCATCCTCACCCTCAAGATGCTCGAGTTCCTCACCTGCATCCTCCTGCTCCGGGGCTTTTCCTTCCGTCTTGCCTCCCTTGCCCAGGTGGCCTTGCGCTTCGCCTAGCATCATAAACTGTGCATTCGGATAATCAATGAATTTCGGTTTAAGAGGCACCCAGCGGAGGTCGCGGAAGTCATCCATCAAACTGCAGGAACAAACCAAGAAAAAAGAAAAAGAAGCAAGGCGTCAGATATATCTATGCAAGGAGCAGCGAGGAGTGTCGAGCGTGAACTGACCTTTGCGGATAGTCTGGGGGCTTTGGCAGCCTTGCACTGGATGGACCAGGATACTTGGGATTCTTCGAGGCCACGATGAAAGAGCCTTTCTCTCGTAAACCAAAATCTTTCTGAACCTGGGATAACTCGGTTGGTATTGTCAAAATATACGCCAAGTGAGAGGTTCTCGTGGTCGAAGTAAGTGCATAAACGCCTTCGGCTAATGGGGTAGCAGTGGGCGAAAATTGCGTGCCTTTCGTCTTGGTCTCATATTCTTCACCCAAAAACGATTCCTTCAGGGTCTTCAGGTCGGTCCCCGCTTTCTCAACGAAGCCCATGTACTTTTCGCGGCTTGACGTGGGAACTGTTTTCTTAGGCAACAAGAGAAGTCGACAGTTGTTTTCACCCCCGGCAAGCCCGGCACTTAGGTTGGCTCCAATGGGCTGATGGCGGAGAACAATAAAGGTACGGGCAACTTCATCGACACCTTTTGGTTCTTCAACGCCAACTTTACCCCGAAAGAAAAAATATATGATCCCCTCCTCCATAATGTTGGATGGTATACTTTCACCCCGGGGGCTTTCTGTTTTTGTGTCCGTGGCGGCCTTTGATTCCTTATTCCCAGAAATATCAGAGGGTTTCATCTCACTTGACTCTTCAGCCTCCTCGTCTTTCACATATGCATGATGAGCATGTGGCTTCTCAGCTTCAGTTTTCTTTGGCTCATTTTGCGTTGTGGTATTTTTCGCAGGCTCCTGTTTTATTGCCGCTTCATCTGCGGATTTCTTGATCTCATCCTTGGTATGCTTCTCTCGCTTTGGTTCCGGAATATCTTTCTTAGACGAAGCCTTGCGCTTTTGGCCTGCTTCAGTCGATTTCCTTCTGCCCTGTTGTGCATTTTCATGCAGGGCTTCATTTGCCTTCGTTGCTGCATGTCGGGTAGAGGTGCGAGTTGCCATTGCGGGACTGCAGAGGGAATTTAGGCGATATCAGGCAATTAACTAGGAAAAATACACCCACCTTGAAGATATTTGCCGTCCGTTGAACCGCATTGGCTGTTTGGACGGCTTTAATGGCTCTATGACGACTGCCTCCTCCTTGACGTCATACCCACCTAGGGTACACCTGGGCACCTGCAGTTTATACATCACGTGCTGGCCAACTTGTTGATGGTCACTGAATATATAGTCGGGGGCAAAGCAGTAGAAGCCTATTTCATGCTATTAATGCTGTCCAGTCATTAGCTGGATAGGCTTTGAAGTAGATATAGCGCTCAGGTGTCTTGGGTACAGAAAAAAACTGTCATTGAGTTGAGACATGATCTGACGTTGGTGTTGGCCAGTAGCAAGGGCTTAAGCTCCCGAAGATGTACGATTATGATGGTAACGCTGACATCTAGATTTTCGAGAAATTTGTATCGTGTGATCTATAACCAGCGCTATTGATCAAGCATGGGCCAATTTTGGTACCTAGGAGGTGTTATAGTCGGCCCAGTCAAAAGGGCAGATGGACAATAGAAAAGGGCCGTAACCTCCAGCGCCACACAGCCAAGTAGCCCATACTGTTGTCTATTGGCTGGAGGCTACGAAAACCAGGCGTATCCAATGCCTAAATGTGATATCAAGTTGTAACTCAAGGCATCGTCCTGCCGTTGTTGTTGGTGGAGGTTGACGAAAAGGAGATGCGGCGACCAATAAGAGCCGAGAATCTAGTCGCTTGTAGTTACATAAGCAGCGTCCTCCTCAAACCACAAAGTGTCCACGTACAGAAAGACGCAAAGCAACGAACAGCAAAAGGCAAGCTTGTCATCTACTACTACAACAAGCCTTGCTGCCGTGTCTGCTCTTTACGGCTTGGATATCGATGCTCCGAATCAACTAAACATCTCGTATCTTGGTCGGCGCCTAGAGTTTCTCTCCTTCCTGCGGCCTAGGCCAATCCCCCGCGATAACAATGCAGTCCGCCTCTCCAAACGTGCTCACAAAGGTACACCTCAATGCTCTTGATTTCAACCGGTTTCCTGTATTTATCTCATGCTGATATTTGTTGTTTGCTACCACAGTTCGAGTCGAAGTCCTCTCGAGCAAAAGGCCTTGCCTTTCACCCAAAAAGGTCAGCACGAAAGCAATCACCAGCCCACCATACCGAGTGTGAACCTCTATGCTAACCGACCCGAGCAGACCATGGCTTCTAGTCGCCCTTCACTCATCAACTATCCAATTGTGGGATTACCGCATGGGAACTTTGATTGACCGGTTTGAAGAACATGATGGCCCCGTTCGAGGAGTCGATTTCCACAAAACCCAGCCCTTGTTCGTCTCTGCAGGTGATGATTATAAGATTAAGGTCTGGTCATTGCAGAGTAGAAGGTGCTTGTTTACTCTCAATGGTCATCTAGATTATGTTCGAACGGTCTTCTTCCATCACGAGCTCCCATGGATTATCTCCAGCTCCGACGACCAGACCATTCGTATCTGGAACTGGCAAAACCGGTCTTTGAGTAAGACCGCTCTTTAACCCTTGTAAAAGGACGTCACTGACCTGAATGCATAGTTTGTACCATGACTGGACATAATCATTATACTATGTGCGCGCAATTCCACCCAAAAGATGATCTGGTTGTCTCCGCCTCCCTCGATCAGACAGTGCGTGTCTGGGATATCTCCGGTCTCCGAAAGAAGCACTCTGCCCCTTCTAGTACAATGGCATTCGAAGAGCAGATGGCTCGCTCAAACCCTGCTCAAGCAGACATGTTCGGAAACACCGATGCCGTTGTTAAGTTTGTTTTAGAAGGCCATGACCGTGGTGTGAATTGGGTTGCATTCCATCCAACTCTGCCCCTGATTGTTTCTGCTGGCGATGATCGCCTTATAAAACTGTGGAGAATGAGTGGTACGTTTGGTACACTATGTGGCTCGAGAAAGCTCCTACTAACTTGCTCTAGAAACGAAGGCATGGGAGGTGGATACCTGTCGTGGCCATTTTCAGAATGCCTCTGCTTGTATCTTCCACCCACATCAGGACTTGATTCTCTCCGCTGGTGAGGATAAAACTATCCGTGTCTGGGATTTAAATAAGCGAACTGCGGTTCAGTCATTCAAGCGGGATGCAGATCGCTTCTGGATGATTGCAGCCCACCCGGAGATTAATCTGTTTGCCGCAGGACATGACACTGGTGTCATGGTTTTCAAACTTGAGCGGGAGCGTCCAGCCTCCGCCTTATACCAGAACCAAGTTTTCTACATAACCAAGGACAAGCACCTTCGCTCTTATGACTTTACGAAAAACACCGAGTCTCCCGCCATGCTATCTCTCAAGAAACTCGGGAGCCCCTGGGTACCCGCTAGGACTCTATCATACAACCCAGCTGAGCGTGCTATATTGGTCACCTCTCCCACCGATAATGGCACCTATGAACTGATTCACATCCCGCGGGACTCAACTGGAGCAGTAGAACCAACTGATGTGAAGCGCGGGCATGGAAATTCCGCAGTGTTCGTAGCCCGCAACAGATTTGCCGTCTTTACCCAGTCTACACAGCAAATAGATATTAAAGATCTAAGCAACTCTACCACGAAAACGATCAAGGCTTCTCATGGCACAACAGACATCCACTTTGGCGGAACTAGCTGTCTCCTCCTCCTCACGCCAACTTCTGTGGTTCTCCTTGATATCCAACAGAAGAAACAACTCGCGGAGTTGAGCGTCAGTGGTGTGAAGTACGTTGTATGGTCCAATGACGGCCTCTATGTTGCTCTATTAAGCAAGCACAATGTCACAATTGCCACGAAATCCCTGGAGCACGTCAGCACCCTGCATGAAACTATTCGAATCAAGAGCGCTTGCTGGGATGATAGCGGTGTGCTCCTATATTCCACTCTCAACCACGTCAAGTACTCCCTCCTCAATGGGTGAGTTATCGGAATAATCCCACTATTCTCATATCAATACTAAATATTTCTAGTGACAATGGTATTGTTTGCACTTTGGATCAGACTTTATATTTAGTCCGTGTTAAAGCTAGAAAGGTATACTGCTTGGATAGAACTGCCAAACCAACTGTTCTCGCGATTGATCCCACCGAGTATCGCTTCAAGCTTTCCTTGGTGAAGAGAAATTATGAGGAGATGCTTCAAATCATCAAGACATCCAGCCTTGTTGGGCAAAGCATTATCTCGTACTTACAAAAGAAAGGATACCCTGAGATTGCACTTCAATTCGTTCAAGACCCTCAGACTAGATTTGAACTTGCCTTAGAGTGCGGCAACATTGATGTTGCAATCGAAATGGCGAAAACCCTTGACCGCCCCAAGCTCTGGGCCCGACTCGGAACTGAAGCTCTAGCACATGGTAACAATCAGACAGTGGAAATGACATACCAGAGACAAAGGAATTTTGATAAACTGTCATTCCTCTACCTCACCACGGGTGATCAGGAGAAGCTCTCTCGAATGGCTAAAATCGCCCAGCACAGAGGCGATTTCACCTCGCAATTCCAGAATGCACTTTATCTTGATGATGTTGAAGCTCGAATACAGATGTTCAAGGAAATTGACCTTTGTAAGTTTTCGTTTGTATATTCAAAGTAACTCTCTACTAACTATGGTGCTACATAGTGCCATTGGCCTACCTCACTGCTAAAACCCATGGATTTGCGGAGGAGGCTCAGTCTATTCTTAAAGCTAGCGGCGTTTCTGAGGACCAAATAACTCTTCCAACCCTTGGCGAACCAAAACCGGCGCCCAATGTTGTTGTTCAAACGTTCAAATCCAACTGGCCTGTTAAAGCCCCTTCTCATTCCTCTTTTGAGAAGGCACTCTTGGGTGAAGTTGGTGGAGCTGACGATGAAGGTGTCAACGGCTTCGAAGACCAAGATGGTGAACGCGAGAATGGTGGTGTCGAGATTGGGCTCGGTGATGAGCAAGAGGAGGAAGACGTTGCTGGGTGGGACATGGGGGATGATATCCAAATTGAAGAAGAAACTGACCTTCTCGGCACCGAAAACGTCGAAAGCGGCCCATCCAGCAGTGAAGCTGAATTGTGGTCCCGCAACTCACCACTTGCCGCTGACCATGTTGCAGCTGGATCTTTCGAGTCAGCAATGCAGCTCTTGAATCGTCAAGTTGGTGCCGTGAACTTTGAACCTTTGAAACCACGCTTCCTCGAGATCTACCAAGCTTCGAAGACTTACCTTCCAGCAACACCCGCTCTTCCTCCAATAATAAACTATGTCCGCCGTACTGTCGACGAAACTGATACGCGCAGGCTGCTTCCGATTATCCCCCGAAGTCTGGAGACTATTGCCAGTGTTGATCTGCAAGAGGGTTATGCCGCTATGCGATCGAACAAGCTTCAGGATGGAATCGTTATTTTCCAGCGAATTCTTCACTCCATTCTTGTTAACACGGTCTCGTCAGAGGCGCATGTGACTGAGGCCAAGAAAATCATCTCCACGGCGAGGGAGTATATTCTAGCCATGTCGATGGAGCTCGAACGACGAGCTTTACCAACAGACACTCCCGAAAACCTTAAGAGGAGCCTTGAGCTCTCTGCCTACTTCACCATTCCAAAGCTCGAAGTGGCTCACCGGCAGCTAGCGCTCATGGCCGCCATGAAATTTGCTTATACCAACCAGAATTTCTCCTCCGCTCTCAGTTTCGCTAACAGGATGATTGCAAACGGTGGTTCGGCCAAACTCCTAGATCAGGTAAGCCCATTCTTTATCCCGTCACTTTACCTTTTACTGACTTCCAAACAGGCAAAGAAGATAAAGGCTCAGTGTGAAAGAAACCCCCAAGATGCTATTGAGATTGAATTTGACCAATTTGCTGAATTTGATATCTGTGCTGCTTCACATACTCCGATCTATGGCGGCTCTCCAAGTGTGACGTGCCCTTATACTGGTACCAAGTATCATGAACAGCACAAGGGCTCTGTTTGTACAGTTTGTAAAGTTTCCGCAGTTGGCGCTCCTGCAAGTGGTTTGAGATTATTTGTTCCAGGACAGCACTAGACTACATCCTTCTTTTCCTGTCTTGTCTTATTCCATGACTGGCTGATTTTATGATGGGCGAGGAATTACTATGACATTTTATACATTTCCAGGCTCGGCCTATTTAGTTAGAGCCACCTGGACAAATTTGATAAAGCTTTGTTCACTGTTGCTACGCATAATTTTTTTTAGCAAAAAAAAAAAAAAAGAGGCCTAATCTTACGACCCTTAAGATACCAGTGTTTATGCAAGTGGTCAGCTTCTTTACTTCTATTGCGTTGTAACTATACTGACATGCATCTGGTTATTTAACTGCAAGCCGGGAGAAGAATTTGCAATATACTGTTTCTCACTCAACATTTGAAACTGGGGCTAGGACTAAGACGTAGATACTACTTGTAGGGACATAAAAATACAGAATTTTAGTATATATAGCACTATGGTACATCTGTATAACCAATAATGACGTCAACTATGCTCTATCTTCGCTTAAATCCAGCATCGGCGTAAGAGATGCCAATATCCTAAATATCACCTGCATATCACTAATCAAAGATTTTAAAGCTCTATAAAACACTATACCTCGGATAATACAATCAATCACATCTCCCGTCCTTCCACCCTGTTCTCCATCTCTCTTCCCATTTGGAGCAATCAAACTCCTTCTTCCCTAACTTCCGATTTACTTCATTGTGAGCAAGACACATCCAATTGCCGAAATCCGCACGTCCAGAGAGTTTTGGCTTGTTAGCGCCGCTTGGATGATTCATCCACGTTTGCAAGTCGTCGGCGCATACCCAACAAGGATATAGTTTTGAAAAAAGGGTCATAAACTGGCTCATTTCGCTTTGCTGTTGAGGTGATGCAGTGGTAGGATATGTTGCAGCCATGGTATGTAGGAGAGTCCAGGTACTTCTACCCAATGCTTCAACGTCTGCCGGACAATCATCGGGTAACTCAGAGGTGGAATTTGTGCTTGAAGTACTGAAGAGAGTTGCAGGCGTGGCACTTGTAGCAGAGGAGGCATTAGAAGAAGCGTGTGATGCATTAGGTGGAAGACCGGCTTTAATCTTCGTCAACGCCCGCCAGTCTGCGAGGGAGGTGCAGGTTCGGCAACTGCTCTCATAACATAAAGATTAGTTCCATTCCTCAAATTCTGGCTACATAAATAGATCAGTACTCACGGCTTGCCGTCCTTATCCAGAACAACACCCTTTGGTAGCTTCTGGGGCTTTTCTTCTTCATTCTTTTCTGCAGGTGTCCCAGTGGGCGCATTTTTCTGGTTAATAGCACTCAATTGCTCTTTGAGTATGTCCGCCATGGTTGAAAACGGTGGCAGATGACAGTGTCAGGCCAATAGAGACGCCGTTATATATGCTATATTTTTATATCCTACCTGACATGAGCGTCGGATGTCTGAATCCATCAAGCGTATTTCTAAGCAAGCCAATTTCTTATCGCCGCTCTTATCGCCGCGCTCATGCAGTCTCGCAAGGTCGAAATATCAATCAATAATAATCGTCTAGCGACTTAACCTGCCAGCTACCTAACCTATTGGTTTAACTGTCATTCAACTGCCTGTTTGTTTTGCTACGGCAACTTGTGTCTAATTTTATAAATGTCACCTTTGCATGAAGTTCATCTGTATTCATCGTCTCGCGCCAAGCTGGTTGTCTTCAACCTCCAAGTCGCGTCTCAATTTTCATCTACTCAACATTATCTTTCTAGAGCCTCTATATTCGGGGACAAAGCAGTCAGTTGTTCCATTTTTGCGGAAACGCGGAGCCTAGTTTGACGGAAACGCGGGTTTCGCACAGTTTTCCTGCTTTCCGGGATGTCAGACCTAGAGTCCGAGACGCGGCCTTCTTCTGGCCTTCCAAGCGCAGAAGCAATAGAGCAAGGACTGAGGGCTACAGTTGCGAAGATATACAAGTCTGGAAACCTTGATGAGCTTACTGTGAAACGCGTACGGTTGGCAACAGAGAAAATTTTGGGGCTGGAGCAGGGTGTCCTCAAAGCCCATGCGGAATGGAAGCAGAAAAGTGATGAGATCATAAAGGATGAGGTGGTATGTACTCTCTCGAATTCCTCTGTTCTTAAGAGAAAATCCGCCTGCGTATATATACCTAAGTATGTATGCGCAAGTATTAAAATTGGTGTTTGAACCTAGGAAATACAGGAAAACCCACCACCGACGTCTACCGCAGCGCCAACAAAGCCCCGGTCGAAGAAGCGAGTCTCGCCTGAAACACAAAAGGCTTCAAAGCCTGTCAAGAAGCGCAAGAAGGCAACTTCAGTACAGTCCAAGGAAGATAGTAGCAGCATGTCTTCTGAGGAGCGTGGCCCCAAGCCAGTGAGCAATAAGAAATCAAAAGCGCCGCCTGTGAAAGTGTCTCGATATAAAAATGTTACCAAAGTCGACACTGAATCAGAGGAAGAAAATTCAGGTCAGAGCGATGACGGTAAGGGTGTAGCTTGTGAGCCGAAAGCTACATCTAAGGCAACCAAAGCTGCGGACGCAGAAGGAGATTCGGAGAGCGAAATGTCAGTGCTCATCGACGAAGAGCCAAAACCCAAAAGGCGAGAGTCAGCCGCCCGGATCACTGAGCTAGGTAAAGGCAAGAAGACCAAGTCAGAGAAGAAACGGAAGGAAACTGTCCCGGAAGACCCAGACCAGGCAGAAATAAAGCGACTGCAAGGATGGTTGGTTAAGTGTGGAATAAGGAAGGTTTGGGGCCGCGAACTCATGGGATGCAGTACACCCAAGGAGAAAATATGTCATTTAAAGTCCATGCTCAAGG